CACGGGGGCGACGCTTCACCGGGAGCGACCTCTCTTTCCCCGCTGCATAGGAATGTGGGGAAAGGGCTCGGGCGCCCCCTTTTCTCTCCCCCCTTCTTTCCTTCTCTTTCCTCGGGCGCTTTGTCTTGGTGCCCCAACACTGGGCGTGGAATAGTGTGAAATAAGGGCCACTTTGGAAGGTTCCTCTGGCGGATCATCTTCCTCGTGCAGCTCTCGCTCTGGGAAAGGAGCAGCGCTCTGGCGAGCCCCGAGACATTCCCCCGTTCTCTCTCTCTCTCACTTTCCCGGCCCTTCCAAGCCGAGGCGGAGGGGGTGGGAAGAGGAGCCCGAGGGGGAGGGAGGGAGGAAGGGGAGGTGGCGGCGGCAGCTGGGCGATGGCCAGCAGCGCTCGAGACCTGGCGAGGCTGCCCAACCAGCCTGGCGCGCCACTGCAGGGAAGAGACGCGGCGGGGCTGGGTGTGGCGCGCGCTGCTCTTTCCCTCCACGCCCGAGTCCTCTCCGTTCCCAAGCATCCCTGGCTGGGCAATGGCCAGCAGCGGCCAAAGCGGGTTGAGGGAGAGCGAGCACAGGTTTTGGCGAGGCGGCCACGGGAAGGACCGAGGGAGGAGGAGAGGGGTAACGCGGTGCCCAGCTCAGGTGCTCCGAGCAGAGGGGGAGCCGCCCCCTCTGCCAGTGCTGGGCAGCAAAGCTTAACATCTCAGCGCTGAGATGTTAAGCTTTGCTGCCCAGCGCTGGCAGAGGGGGCGGCTCCCCCTCTGCTCGGAGCACCTGAGCTGGGCACCGCGTTACCCCTGCCCTGCCTACTCAGACCAGCTGAGCCTCCCTGGACGTCGCAGCAGCAGCAGCCCCAAGTGCGCCGATCTCGGCGTTTTTCACATCGGGGCGTGCTGCAAGAAGAGGGAGTGAGTGAAGACCTTTTCTAGCCGGCGCAAATGGGGCGGGCTGCAAGAGGGAGGGAGGGAGTCTGGATCGCTGCAAAGCAAGTCTTGGGAAGTCCTTTGCGCCGGCAGCGCTGAGATGTTAAGCTTTGCTGCCCAGCGCTGGCAGAGGGGGCGGCTCCCCCTCTGCTCGGAGCACCTGAGCTGGGCACCGTGTTACCCCTGCCCTGCCCCATCCTCCGCCACCTTGCTTTTGAGGAGCCATCGGGCCTTTTTTCCTGCTCCTGCCCCTCCGCCGCCTTCCTACTGGCTCCCATGGCCTCAAGGCTCCTCAAAAGCACGGCGGGAGCTTTGCCGGCTTCACCTCAGCTGCAGCGCCGAGCAGCAAATCCGGCGGTGCTGTTAGAGGAGGAGGAGGCAGCAGCAGTTAGTCCGGTGGTGGCGGGGGGCTTACTGTCAGTCCAATCGCCCCATGCTCATCAAAACAAATCACTGCAGCTGCACGGGAGTTGAAAAGTGTTGCGCGGTGTTTTCTTGCCTTAGAGGGAACAGTGGTCCCGCGGGGGAGTCTCCGGCCGCTGCGTTCACCTCGCCCGCCTGCCCCCGAAGAGGCGGAGGCTTTCCCATGGCTTGTCCAGGTGGAAGTGGGGCTGGAAAGGTGAGCCGCTCCCCCGCCCATCTGCCCGCTTACTCGATACACTACCCCGCCCATGCTAGCAGCAGCGGATGGGCAGGGGAGCGAGCAATCAAAGAAGGCGCCAAAATTAAAGCGGGATCTTTTGACAATAGCAATAGCAATAGCAATAGCAGTAGACTTATATACCGCTTCATAGGCCTTTCAGGCCTCTCTAAGCGGTTTACAGAGAGTCAGCATATTGCCCCCAACAATCTGGGTCCTCATTTTACCCACCTCGGAAGGATGGAAGGCTGAGTCAACCCTGAGCCGGTGAGATTTGAACCGCTGACCTGCTGATCTAGCAGTAGCCTGCAGTGCTGCATTTAACCACTGCGCCACCTTGGCTCTCTTGACAACAGCCCGGGACGCGGGAAAAATTATGAAGAAGCGTGCCTGTCCCGCCAAATGCGGGACGTCTGGTCACCTTATCCTACATGTCCTCCTTTTTGATATTTGAAAACTAATCTGTTGCGCGTTATGTGATGTATTTGTATTTGACATGACGATTCGTCAAGGCTTGGTATAGTGTGGTATAAGATGTGATTATGCGCTCCCCACGGGAGACCTTGAGAGAGACCGTCGCGCGCAAGTGGTTTTATTTACTTCTTACCGAAACATGAAACACATACGCACGCAGTAGACTCATGGTAATTATTTCTTTCTCAGTGAATATTCAATTATACAGAGGTAAGTACAATTCACGTTTATTAATTCATTATCTATTTAATAATTTCCAAATATGTATAATTTTATTTACAAGTTTATACAACAGAAGTGTAAAATAATTTAAATTTAAGTGAAATGTATTTGCTTATGTTATTAAAATTTCAATTGTAATAATTAATTTTATTTATTCATAATGTGCTTGCATCGTTCATGTAGCTTTATATTTTATTTTAAATTTTAAATTTCATTTAAGGGATGGAAAAATAAAAAAAATAGGAAATGCCATTTCAACGATCAATTGAAAAAGGAATTTCCATTCCTCATATCAAAGAAAGATGCCATTGTTTTCTGCAATATTTGCAGAGGAGAATTTTTTATTGCATTTGGGGGCAGAGCAGCTATAACAAAGCACTTGTCCACCAACTAACATCAGCAATCATTGGATGCATCAGCTTCCAGTCGTAAAGTAACAGGTTTTTTTAAAACTTCAAAATTAAGAAATTAAGCAAGATCTCCCTTCACACCCATCCCAGAGTTCAAAGCTTTAGTGGGGGTGCATCAACATGTGTAACCCCTGCAGTAACCAGAAGGACATGGGAGCTGCTGGATCCTCCTTTCCCTTGGAAACAGAACGGATGGCTGAACTGAATCTGGAAGAAAAATTTGTCCGGCCCAGATAGTCGCTGGGAGTGGGACAGATGAGTGATCCTGCGGAAATGCTGGCAGGGCTGCCTGGCAGGAAGCCAAAAAAGAGGATCTCATGATGACCCAGGCTTTACACCTTTTACAAGAAGCCTGGGAAAAATGCCGTTTCCACAAAGGTTTCGCTGAAAGGGAGATTGGATCAGCTGAGCAGGTGGAGGGGGGGAAACAGATGACCTGGCTAACCCTGAAATGACCTTGGGAGCTGCTACTGGAGTTGGTCAAGACAGAAGAGTCCCAGCTGCTGCTACAGCAGCCGTTCAAGCTCCTCCAAGGGGGGAGGGTAGCTCCCCGAAGGCATTGAATTCCAAAGATTCCTCCTCTTAGAATACATTATGGAGGAGATCCCAAAGAGCTGGGAAGTTTTTTAGTTCAAGTTTGGAATTACATGCAAGAGTATGGGGAGGATTTCCCATTGAAAGTTGCCAAGATGAGAAGTGTTACTATGGCATTGGAGGGCAAAGCTGCTGCCTGGATGGTGGCCTTGCATAATGATGATTCCCCCCTGCTGAGGGATTACAGCATGTTTATGACAGCTCTGAGGAAACACTTTGATGACCCCCTTGCAAATCTGAAGGCAAGAACCAGGATGAAAATCTTTATCCAGGGGAGGAGGTCTGTGGCAGAGTACACTCAGGAGTTTCGCAAGCTGTCTGTGCATATGCGGGGGTGGTCCCAGGAGGCAGTGATGGACAGCTACATAGATGGCCTTAATGATGATGTGTACTAGAGCTGTATGAACAGCCCCCCCCCCTTCCCGGTGACTTGCAACACTGGTATGTGCTGGCAGCTGATGTGGAGATTAACCTAGCCAGAAATCAATACTGTGGAGGCAGCAGCTGGAA